GTAAGTCTATCAGGAAAAACGCAGATTTAAACAAATTAGTTATGCAACAAAGATACAGGAAAATTAATGAAAATTTATAATTATTATTAATCTATACACAGACTTAAAAGTGTCTTTCCATAAAAAAAAATATTTTCTACTAATTGACAACTGTTCATTTTATAAATTCTCATGAAATAAATATTTTAAAAAATCTATGACCCAAGTTAAAGTAAGTTATAAAAATTTCAACTTACTGTACTTGTTGAGTCCTTTAGGCCCATCCACCCACTGAGCTGAAGGCATTTTATCAAGGACCATGAGATAGTATTCTATAATGACATCACTGTGCTGTAACAAATGAAATGATAAAATTAATGAAAAGTGTAAATCTTTGAAAAAAATTAAGTTTAACTAAAATAATTTGATCAAGAATGATGATAAATGTAAAGATCAACCACATTATACTGGCATGATGCTTAAAATAAAATGGAACATAATTGACTTTCTATGAGATAGAGTTATGATTATTTTTAATAAAACGATGCATTATAGTAATAAGTAATACCCTGTAATAATAAAGCTACAGACCATCCATTACAGAACTGCCAACTATTTTAGAGCTTTTTCTTTGTCTTTGTAAATAAATGTTAGTCAGATAATTATAATTAACATTTTCTTCCGGAATACTTAAATGATCTTTATGTTGTTGTTTTTTATTATTCTAAAGACTCATGCTCTTAAATTATAGATATAACATATATTTTAACAATGCAGAATGTAAAAAAAATTGTTGCAAAAATTCCAAAACTGTACTAATGCAGAATCTTTTTGTGCTTGTCAATTAAAGTTAAACCAAAAAAAGTGGGATCTGGTAGAAGATCAATTATAGTGTCTTAATGCAGAATGTAAAAAAAATTGTTGCAAAAATTCCAAAACTGTACTAATGCAGAATCTTTTTGTGCTTGTCAATTAAAGTTAAACCAAAAAAAGTGGGATCTGGTAGAAGATCAATTATAGTGTCTAAATAAGCTAATATATAATGTATACATTTTATAATACAACTGAACAATTAAACATATAAATTAAAATTTAATAAATCCGAGAATGATGATAAATAATTACCTGTAAACCAGATTCAAGTAAATATACACCCAAAGCAATTATCGCATTTTGGCCTCTTCCATCGAGTCGCAGAGTTCCCCCTTTGTCTTTGTAATTGGGACACATCAACATCAAGCGTTCAATCTAGAGTTCATAAACAGTGTTTAAAAACTTTAAAAATTCATAACTTTAAATAGATACTTTGGTCAAAAATGTAAACATTTTTTAAAAATAAACCAATGGCACAGTTGAATAGAGCTAATTTTAAACATAATTATAACACCAAAATCATATTTTTAGCTGTTGTAGTTTTAAAGTTATGAATTTTTAAAGTACGACTTGGTTTGTCCTTTTTTAACATAGACTGCATCTCCACATTCTGTGACCTCATTCCGCTGATCGCGTCATGCGCAATGACTATATAGTTTATATAAGGCAATGCATTCCCTTATCACTAAAATACTGTTTAGGGTCGACTTATTTTAAACTTTCAACTTTGGCACATGAATAATTAATAAAAGCTTTCCCTGACCAATGGTTTAATAGCTTTTGCACACAGCAAACTGTTATGAATGAAACTCTGAGATAGTACTACAACGTAGCCGTTATGCAAGTGGCTGTGAATGGTTGCCAATGACGTGTTGCACAGGGAAAATTCTGATCATTTATATTATGGACTCTACAGGGTTTTTAAAGCTCAAATTAAAACATTTCCAGTTTAAATGTCTTCAAAATGCATTCTGAAACACAAAATATAAAATATTTTGATGTATATAGTGGTAATAATTAAATATTTCCTAAGTATCGGCAACTTCCGCCATTAAAAAGGGGGCGTGGCCCAAGCCATGTCGAAATTAGGCTGAGCCACCTAATGGTGATATGGGTCACTGTGACAAGTGTAACAAACGTGGGACACGACCTACATCAATGAAACTTGGCACAGATATAGATCAATATCTAATGCTCATACAGATTTAATAAAAAAGGACCTTATCTTATTATTTCACAAAAAATTTTGTATGCGAAGATGCCTTATATATACCAAAGATTTTCAAGATAAAGGTCGATTGAAAAAAGCAAAATAGCTGGCTAGAAATGTAGGCCAAGATGTCTTCCAAATTATAAGGCCGGAAACGGAACTCAAATATATGTGGAAAGAACTAATTTAATAATAAATAGACACACACATCGGAAAATTTTGAAACTTGGCACAGATATAGATCAATATCTAATGCTCATACAGATTTAATAAAAAAGGACCTTATCTTATTATTTCACAAAAAATTTTGTATGCGAAGATGCCTTATATATACCAAAGATTTTCAAGATAAAGGTCGATTGAAAAAAGCAAAATAGCTGGCTAGAAATGTAGGCCAAGATGTCTTCCAAATTATAAGGCCGGAAACGGAACTCAAATATATGTGGAAAGAACTAATTTAATAATAAATAGACACACACATTGGAAAATTAAAAACTCGGATTTTTCGGCGCCGACGCCCATTTCCGATACAAAAAAAATAGTAGTCTCCCTTCTTTCATCGAAGTATCTACTTTAAAACTACAACTACAATAGCTAAAAATATGATTTTTTTTGATAATTCTGTAAAAAAAAATAGCTCTATTCAACTATGCCATTTGTTTATTTGTACAAAATGTTTAAATTTTTGACCAAAGTATCTAGTCTTAGCTAAGGCCTTGCCACTACTTACTTATAACTTGACGTAACTAAGTAAGTTTAAACTTTCTTTTACAATTACAACAACAAAAAAATGATGCAGAGCAGAGCATGCAATGTAAATAGTATGTTTGACTGTATAGAATCCTTTTGGCTATTTGTCATTTATCTTATCTATATACCTGTTCCCATGGTGTTGATTTTATTGCTGCCAACGATCGTGCAAGTTGTAGGAGACTTCTTGCGTGATAATCTAAATCGTTAGAAGCCATTTTGTTTACAGAACCAGTCAGTGGGGTTACAGAGTTGTATCCCCTACAAAAAAATAATTAAAAGAGTAATAACCCAAAATATTTTGAAATAGATTTTAATGTTATTTTTGTAACTATGTTAACGTGGGTAAATACTTTGAGATATGTTAAAATTTGATATAATATAAAATATAATGATACAATTTTTAAAATTATTCGTAATGATCGGCATAGAAGTATTTGTATAAATAAAATTTTTAGACTTCTCCACTTAACGGCTCTATAGCTCAGTTGGTTAGAGCGTCTGCCTAGTAAGCAGAAGGTCGAGGGTTCAACTCCCCCTGGAGCCTATTTTTATCCTTTACTCTTTTTCCTTTTTGTGCAAAACAAAATCAATCAAAATCGACCACGAGATCATCAATATCGTTCTAGTTCTGAATATGGCTGTGGGTGAGAAGATAGCAATAATTGATTGGGCCCTTCTGCCGTGTACTTTGTACTCTGTAGCCGCTGCTCTGTTTGCTCCATGTAGTAATTGAGCATTTGTGTAAAAAGGAACGTTACTATCTTTCCCAGCGCTTGGGTTTATATCGAACGCTTCAGTAGTGCTGTCTTCTCCTACCAGCAAATCGCCGTCCATGTCCTAGCTCACATAAAATAATTCTTGTGGTCCAGCGGTCGACTTAAATTCTCACATTTCCCACCAATCGAAGCTGAGACTCCATTATAATGTTAAAGATGCTAATGAGGCCTAACTTTTTGAGTACCGTACCTCAGTCTCAGTATCTGAGACCAATGTTCCCTCTAAGGTTTGCTGGTTCGTGTGCAAAATTATACAGTTGTGTGCATAGTTTTACAGCATTGATTTTTTGTGTGCAAAATTTTACAGCCCACAAATACAAACACACACTTGCATGGAAATTTGCTGCGCGAATAGTCAAAACTGCTGCGCAGCGTCTGTGGGATAGCTGCGCGGCCGCGCAGCTTAAAGTGAACATTGTCTGGGACCCTGTCCTGTCATTTGAATATTTGTTCAAAGGGTTATTACACTGGCCCTTTTTGCATTACGATGATTAACCTATTCATTGATGGTTGTGCTCTGGGACAGTGTGCTACCAAGGTAAGAGAGGCTATAACTATTTCGCCTTAAACTTGAACGTTGTGCTCTACATGAGCTTTTCAGGGAGCTTTCTGGTATAGGACTTAAAGTATTTATTGTGTTAATGGTGAGAACGAAGTTTGTGCATGCATTGGAAAATTTGGCAACACTGCGCTGCATATCCAATATCCACCACTTATCCAGCGTTTAGGGCACACTTGTCAGCAGATTTAATTTCCTATTTAATTACCTGATCAAGAATATCAACAGACATGTCATATATTCTTCAGCGGACAATGTCGTTAGATAAGGAGATCGCATTCAGTCATTCAGTTTCGTAACAAATTCGTCTCCATAAAAATTTGTGACATCTCTTAGACCAGGCCTGCCCAACATACGGCCCGCGGGCCACATGCAGCCCGCCAACCCCACTTTGCGGCCCGCGAATTAACGAAATATTCTTTATTCTTATTATTTTCTTAATAGCCACCCCCCCCCCCCCCCCCCCCCTCCTATTTTCTTTTTGGCCCGCACAAGTCCTGTCCTATTTTTTTGTTTTGTTTGGCCCGCACAAGTTTTCATAAAGTATTACGACCCGCCTTACATTTTGAGTTGTGCAGGCCTGTCTTAGACCATTGACCTCGGAAATGTGTGTTTTCCAATGGTTTTAGGCAACCCCCGTGAAGGGATCGCGCGACCCCCAGAGGGGTTGCGACCCATGGTTGAGAACCGCTGATTTAGGCGAACTGTTAATTTTTTTCTCATCTTACTAGTCTTGGTTGATAAAAATGATTTTTTTACACAGAAGATCTTCCATGGCGCATTTTTTTAAAGCAGTCTTACTTCTTACTTATTTACTATAATATTTTGTGAAAGTTGCACTTAATTGGTGAAGTTATAAAATAAATCACCAAGTTATAATTGTAAAAGACAAAACATGGTCTAAAACAAGTTTTACCTAACTTCCAATTGTTATTATTAAATATTATTACTAGGCATAGGCCTCTTAATAAAAAAATAAAGCTAAGCTCAAACTCAAAGTTAGTTCGCAGTTGGGCCTTGGGCCATGGCCATACTCTACTTAAGTCTAATACTCAGTCAGTACTGCCATCTCTAACTTACTAAAAGTCTAACTCTTAGTAATAATAGTATAATAATAATTAATAGGCTGAGTATAAGTATAGGCTTGGCTTAGACTGTAGACAGTGTTGACCGTACTTCATGCAATCAATTTTTTGGTATAATAATACTAATACTATAAAACTATTTTGGTATAGTTAGTATAGTATCAGTATCATGTCCATTAGTCGTTGGGGCGCCACAGATGACAAATTAAAAGTATAAAAAATTACAAAAACTGATAAAGTCTAAAAGTAAAACTAAAGTTAAATAATATGTCAAGCAAAAGAGAACTAAACACTTTCCCAATAAATCCTTCAATACTATTAAAATTGGATAGTGTTGGCTTTACAACGGTGGAAGATTTCATCACTATCAAGCCGTCAGAGCTAAGTGCAGGTAAAAACATAGGCCTAATCTGATTACTAATCATTACTAATCATCAATAATCAATTTGTGGCATAGTAATATGCCTATACTAGCCTATAGTATATGCCTATAGGGTAGGGTTGCCATATCTAGCTGGGACCTCGTCAGGACACTCTGAGATGGGGGTGTAGAAATGAGGTAAAAAATTATTTAATATTAATATAATTATTTATAGGGTCTATAACGGTGACAGTCCTGATATATCGGGACGGATGGCAACCCTACTATTACTATAGGCTAGGCTAGACTGAGCCAATTCAGTCCAATAAAAAAAATTAAATAAGTATAAATAAAAAAATGTATTAAATTAAAATGCAGGCCTCTGACTATGAAAATGATGTCAGGTTTTCTTACTGCCTAGGCCTAGACTTATCCCCAGTTAACTTATCTATGAATGGCATATTAATTTTACATTTATTATTGCTATTTTTGGCTATTCTATTATAAGTTTAAGTAAGTTACTTCATGCATTGTTTGTAGTTTAGTGAGTACCCTATGAATCATGAAATATTTAGCTAAATAGAAAATATTACCTAGATGTTAAAAATTCAAATCACGTTCAAAATATCTTACTGCTGGCTAAAACTAATTTCTGTTAATGTTGTGATAAGAAAGATAGATTGCTATGCAGTTGTTGTTGGTTTTTTTTTTGGGGGGGGGGGCGACATTTTCGGCCAACTTCAGAGTTTTTCTCGATGAAGGGGCGGCTAAAATATTGACCCGCCCGAGGGCGTTAACCCAACCTATACCACTGTTGCTATGGAGGGTGTTGGACTGTGAAAAAGCTTAAATGAATGAAATAGTGAAACGAGGTATGTGGAAGCTTGAAATAAGGTAACAGGACAAAAACGTTCTAGAAAGAGCAGATGAAATGATGGATTTCTTCCGCTCCAGATCCTATCCTGAAACTACTCTAGTCTCAGCACTAGATCGCATCAGCACGATCACACGAAAAGAGGCTTTCAAAACTCGCCCAAACAACAATGAGGATCGTACCAAACTTATACTAACCTACCACCCTCACAATTTAACTGCCAAAAAAATATTCCTAAAAAATCGTAGCATACTTCTTGCTGACCCTGATACCAACAGGGTTTTCTCATCCCCTCCACTGATTGTCTTTAGACGGGACAGAAATCTAGGTGATCTTCTGGTTCATAGTCGCCTTCGATCTGAACCGTCTTACGTTGGTACTAAACCATGCTTAAGAGGCCGCTGCAGAACTTGTCCCTTTACACTCCAAACTGAAAGCATTGGCCTCCCTAAAGGTACCTTTACCATTAAAGAGGGTTTCACCTGTGTCAGCAGAAATGTAATATATGCGATTGTTTGCCGTAGATGCCTGAACTTGTCCCTTTACACTCCAAACTGAAAGCATTGGCCTCCCTAAAGGTACCTTTACCATTAAAGAGGGTTTCACCTGTGTCAGCAGAAATGTAATATATGCGATTGTTTGCCGTAGATGCCAATCTAGTTACATAGGGGAAACTGGGAGAAGATTGGCTGATAGGTTTACTGAACATCTAAGGGATATTGAGCAATGTAAACCGGTCTCTTCTCATTTCAACCAAAAAGAACATAAAGGTGCATTGGATGTAACCATTACGGCATTGATTTCATGTAGTAACACACCAGATAGGGTTACAATGGAAAATAAATTTATTCAGCTGTTTGGCACCATATCTCCATATGGTATTAATCAAATAATATCCTACTGATGTTTCTCCGTTTCACTTTATTTTCTCTATTTTCTTATTGCTGTTTGTTGATGTATCCCTGGATATTCTGGTCCATTATTATTGTGGACTTTATTTTTCACAGTGTCAATATTTATATTCTCTCGCTTCCTGTTTTCCCACTTCCAGAGAGACGAATGAATACTGCTTGAGTTGTCTACTGTGTTCTTTTCTTTGTTATATTTTCATTTCTATTGTTGGCTGAGGAAGGCTTTATGCTGAAACGTCCTTGTTTTTTGTCCTGTTACCTTATTTCAAGCTTCCACATACCTCGTTTCACTATTTCATTCATTTACATAGCTTGAAAGCAGTCCCTTCATTTATTTATGAAAAAGCTTAAGTCAGTGTTTCCGAACCTTTTTGTTCCATGCTCTTACCCTAAGCAGTTAAAGGTTTTATGTTCCCCCACATTCAAATGAAGTTAAACCATAACCAAACTGTTTTACTTACACTACTTGTGTTCTAAGAGCAGTTGCTCTGATGATGTTTTGTTGGCACAAACAAATTTGGAATTTATATTTAACATTATACCATTGATAATGCATGTGTCTGTGCAATTGAAATATAAATCAATAGTTATTTTGGGATTAGGCTTAGCCTTAGACTTGATGTTCAGTATCATTATTTTTGGAGCTTAATTTATTTACCTAACCAGTAGGTTTAGATAAGTTTATTGGAAAGTCTACATTTTATGAGAGTCATGTATTTCTAGCACTCCAAAAATTTAAAGAATAGCCCATATAGAGCGGAAAGGTATTGCATTGATTGTATATGGCTCAATTAATCAATCTGAAGTGTCATGAAACATTTCCCCTTTTCTTGTTTCATTGATACAAGAGGCTAATATCACACCTCAAGAAGCTCTGGATGTTTTAAAAACATTATTTGAAGATGTGAATGCCGCAGTGAGAAAACAAGTTACACCTGTTGCAAAGTCTGCCCTAGATTTGTTAAAGGAAGAGCAGGTTAGTCCTACCTAAAACATTTCAGTCACTAGAAAAAAATGTGCAAGTATTTTTAGCTGAGGTCACTGAGGTGATTAAGCGTGAAAAACGTGATGGGATTTAGATGTGAAACAAAAATTGTATGCTAAAATTGTATCCAGTTTTTAACAAATATTAGTTTGACTGTCTGAGCAAATTTCAGCTTTTTGTGAAACATATTTTGATTGTTAAATCTATATTTTTGAGTATATTGCATAAACATTGCTGAACATTATGTGTTGTTTATGCACATCTTGTAACATAGAGTCATGGATTTCATTGTAAATCTTGTAACATATAGAGTTATTGCTTTCATTGTAAATCTTGTTTCTCAAATTAGAATTAATGCCTATTAAAAGGGAGAGACAGGACATGACACTAGTTGAGAAAGCATTTATCTAATAACCATTTGCCATTTTGAATTCACAAACCTTCCTTTTCCTCTCAAAAATAATTTCATTATTATTTATGTTTTCATGCCATGAATCTTATTTTCTCATGTATTTCATCTTATTATTAAAAATAAAATAAGGAGTTTCCTATTTTAAATAATGGAACATGCATAAATTTTTAAAAAATAACACTTTAGTCTGCATTGCACTTTTTTTAAAGGAACTAGGGTCCATTGTCACATTTTGTGAAAGTCTAGATGATATGTTGGGTGGTGGAGTTCCTCTCAGAAAGATAACAGAGTTCTGTGGTACACCAGGCATTGGTAAAACACAGCTTTGGTTAGTGTGTCAGAAATAGATTTTAAATCTTGATAAACTTAATTATTAATAATATATTTTTAATTTTTGGGCATGCAGTGTCATCTTTTAAATTCTCACAGACAATCATTTTGTTGTAATGGTGCTAGAGTAAAACTAATTTGGATCTACTTACTCTATATATATATTGAAGCCTTCAGCTGGCTGTTGACGTGCACATACCAGCATGTGTAGGAGGGATGGATGGTGAGGTTGTTTACATTGACACAGAAGGAAGTTTCATTGTTGAAAGGATGGTGGATATTGCAACAGCAACAGTAGAGCATTGTCATCAGATTAATATGGATGAAGATGGAGGCATGCAATATTTTTTATTAAATTTAAATCTTTCAATTTATTATTATTATTTTTTACATTTTTCCATACATGTGAATCTAGAAAGTCCAAAATTTGGTGAAGTTTTGGTATAGACAAACAAAACTGAGTAATTAGTACCAATGAGTCATTGCGGATTTAAAAAAAAAAAAATTTCAGTTGTGTAACTATAGTGGTAAGTAATTTGAAGTTCCTATTCTGTTTAAGTTAGCCATAAAGCTTTTTAGAGAGTGAATGTTTTTATTTTTTGTTCCTCATTCACCTTGGATTTGATGATAAATAATAGGTTTTCATGTAAATTATAGAAACCATTGCATTTTTTAAAACAGAAAAATTGCACATATTCAGCCTGAATTAGTTGATAATAATCATACTAATCTCATATTTTTCAGATAACTCAGGTCTAACTTATTTTACAGTGGATAAAATCTTAGCTGGCACACACTACTTCCGCTGCCAGGATCACATAGAACTGATTGCAACTGTACATATGTTGTCCAAGTTTTTGACTCAGCATAGTAAAGTAAATAAACCAAACTAAGATTAAGAAGGAGGAAAATCTTTTGTGAAAGACGTAGTCATATTCATAATTTAAAAAAAACCAAAAGATTAGTTTTGGAAATAACACCAGCAGGATAGAATATGATATATACATATATATATTATTACTATAATGATCAACATACTGTTGTAGAAATAAAGAGAAATGATTTTGTTGAAAAAAACTGTTTATGAAGGTTCCAGATTTGTGTGTATATTCTCCATCCAGGATAAATTTTCACATTTTATTGCCAATTGGAAATTCAAGACAGGAAATGTTGGAAAGAAGAATAAAATACCGTATTTATCGGCGTATAACACGGACAGGCGTATAACACGTACCATTCACGCTGCTGTGCGGTATGTACTATGGGTCCTTAACATTATATCGGCGTATAATACATACACATTATTTGCCCCCTATTTTCATGGAGAAAAAGTGCGTGTTATACACTGATAAATACGGTAGTTGCATTTCTTGTTAAATTTCTTGTAAACTTAAATCACTAAGATAGCTACTTAAAAAAAAAAATTATAATAATAATAAAATCCATGATGTAAAATATCAAATTTTCATGCTTTAAAACAGGTTAAGCTAGTGATAGTGGACAGCATTGCCTGCCCTTTTAGACAAGATTTTACCGACATGTCCCTTCGTACAAGGCTACTCTCCACTCTGGCTCAAAGCTTCATTAAAATTGCATCACAATTCAACATTGCAGTAAGTCGGATATTGCTAACATTATAAAATAATAATCCTATAATTACTACACCTTTGAATTTTTACCTCTGTCTTGCTTAAAAATTATTGGAATATTTCATGTTTCTCATTACTCTGTTATCTAAATACTTTAATTTTTACCTCAGACCTGAATTTCATTTGGTTTTATGAACACTTTAGTTAGAATTTGAAAAACTAATTTCTTTTTTGCTTTTATTAAATCCTACTTTTTTTTTGATTGGGGGAAATATTTCAGTGGTGAAATTCATATGGTAATACAAATAAGCTTTCCAAGTTATTTTATAATTGTGGCTTTTTTTTTCTTGTTCAAAAACTCCAGCAAGGATGATACTATTTATCATTTAAACAGGTTGTTCTGACTAACCAAATGACAACTAAGATAGCACCAGGGTTAGGAAACTCCCACTTAATCCCTGCATTAGGAGAAAGCTGGGGTCATGCTAGCACCATTCGAATCATCTTGTTTTGGGAGCACAACCAAAGACAGGCATTGTTATACAAGTCCCCAAATAAACAAGAAGTAGTGGCGTCATTTCAAGTGACTGTAAGTTCAAATACAGCTTTCAACATTCTATTTTAAAATCGATAATGTGTGTAGAATGACCACCGAAACAATATAACTAAAACTAAATTGTTTCATAAAATTTATGAAACAATTTAGTTTTACTTATATTACATGTAGTCCTTCCCGATTGAAAGCTGTTAAACACACAATGACTATCTCTATGTTTTCATTTTTATTGAAAATGCAGGCCATAATCTCTTTATTTTATTTTAATGAAAATCACTACACTTATACTCAACTGAGCGATGACTGATGCTAGTGCTAGTGTGAGTAAAAATAGCATAAAATAAGCATATTCCAATTTCATCAATTTCAAACCAGTTCAGGGTCATAATATGTTAAATATAATTTATAACTAGCTGAATGATAATGACATTGTGAAAGTATAAATTTGAAATAATTTATTATATTATCATTGACTCATTTACAGCAACAGTACAAGATATTAATGGCGTGTACACTGAACACTGCTTTAGATATTTTTTTTTTTTTTTTTTTTTTTTTTTTTTTGTTTTTATTTTTTTTTTTTTTTTTTTTTATTGTTGTTTTTTTTTTTTTTTTTTTTTTTTTTTTTTTTTTTTTGGGTAAAGTAATTGGGTTTTTTTTGGCCACAATGGGTTTTATTATTTAAAGTGGTCACTTAAGTTGACTTTGTGATGAAGTAGACCATTAATGGCTTTTTAAAAGCCATAAAATATGGTTTAATTAAAAAAATTCAATTTTCAGTGGAAAAAGCAGACAAGTCACAATGTTGGGTCAGCCTGGTAATAAGCTGTAAAAATGTAGTAAATTGTCACAAAATATTTAGTAACTGATATATTTTGAAAGTAAAATGGTATCGCTAAATAAAAACAAAATCATGGCATCTTATTTTTACATGTGAAAATATTGGGTACTTTTAAACTTTAAAATCCACTTTTCTCAAAATCTTCAAAATGTGACAAGTCTGGTTTTTCCGCTGAGGTCTTCAAATAGATTTTCCTAAATTAATAAATGAATATTAACAGTGCTAATTTAATTTCTTTTATCTGAAGCTTGGTGGAGTGCGTGATGTTAAAAGGTCTTCCTCGAGTGCAACAACAAGCTCAAATTGTGATGCAGCTTCATCTAATGCCAGTGATAAAAGGCTGCTTGCTAATATAAGTTCTGAAGTTGCTGACCCCCCAAACAAGAAACAGAAGAAATTATGATTGGTTTTTAGATCAATGTATAATTATTATCTGGTGATATGTGACAAATTAAACTATTTGGGTAGCAACTGAAATTTGTACCACATAATCAAATTGTTTAGATAATGCCAGGTAGTTATTAAGAATAAGTTATTTTTAAGTACCTAATATATTCATGTTATATGGCATATTTTGGGGTGAAGACCTTTATGTGTTACTTTATTTTACATGTAAATAAATAGATGAATAAATGTGACCTGGAGTGTTGGTTATCACTGGTTTAATATCAAATATTAAATTTCAAACATTTATGGATAACTAAGCTGTATATATTCACCCATGGAAATTGGTATAATCAGGGATCAATGAATAAATTGGTAAGACAAGGTTAATCACTTCTGATCAAATATGTTAAGACTAACTATTATTGTATTATATTTATTGAATAAACAGTTTATTTTTTAAAAATATTTTGTGTTATTCATACATATCTTGTAACAAATGGTTTATTTTTAATAATCCCAAGCATAAAGTAGTTTGAAATTTTTAATAACATTAAAAACATTACTTTTTATTTTAATTTTAAAAACGTCAAATATATAAGTTCATAATATTATGCTGTGCAAATAGCATTGAACGAGATTGTTAATATGTCTCTATATCAAAGAACTCTGTCATTCTTAAAAAATGTTATCTATCACCATTGTGTAATAAAAATTAGGCCAGTTGCAAAAAAAAACAAAAAACATTTAAAATTTATATTAATACTCATTACAATAATTTTTTTTTAAGAAAAAAAAATAAAAACTGGTCATATTTCAGAAATGAAGAGATTTATCTTTAGTTATCAAAGTATTGCATAATTAAAACAATTTAAAATTACAATTTTAAAAATTCACCAGCTTTATGATTAAGTCGTGGCATGTATTGTGTTTTTGAAGATAAATGAATTGGAAGCATGTGTTGTAAAGAAGTTAACATAATTTAAATAGTGTGATAATAATCATGTTATTTTTCTTGCATTCCTTCTGAAAAATAATCACATTCATTAGAAGTTCATATCTCCATTTTATGAGTGCTTAGTTTTTAATTTTATTTTTTGCTATTAATATATTTACGGTACGTAAAATTTTAAGGTTCAAACAACTTAGATTTTATGATTAAGCATTGAAATCTGTCAAATTCAAAAGGATTTTTTTTCTCCTAGTGAAGTGCTATTTATAAAACAAACATCTATATTTTTACATAATTATAATTATACTTTTCAATGAAAGCCATTTTAACTGCAAGGGAATAAAACATTCCAACAATTTGCGCGGAACAATTTAAAAAAAGATTCCAATAACTTTATAATGAAAATCAGTTTTAAAAAACGACTTTTTTTCTTCATATCTAAAATATTTTTTATTGATATATATTACAGAAATAGAATTTCAGTGCTACAAGTATATACACTTTTTATTTAGCAATGATCCGAACCTCACAAGAAAACAGAAATACTTATTTTTTTTTCCCTTTTTGTTCTTTCTTCAGAGGCACATTTCCTAGCAATGGATCTATCTTTGAGTTCAAAGCTTCTACTGCAGCTTGCACTTGATCTTCAACTTTGCCTTCTATTTTCTTAGATTCTTGTGTGAGGAAGTTTTTTACAATAGTCTTCAGGTCTTCTTTAGCCTGCAATAACTCTTCATCTGCGGGAGCAAAAGTACAGATAGCCAATAAAATAATAGTGAACTGGAAATAAAGATATTATAGGGTATAACAGAGATTAGAGAATGTTACTCTTTGGGAAATCAAGAAATTGCGCAGCGGATGAAGATGAATGGCCAAGTAGATTATGAATTGCTATACAAATTTATCATATGAAATGATAAATGTTGCATTGTTACTCACCCCACTCACCTCCTTGCCATAATGATCAAAATTTAAAGGAAGAACTAGCCATTAAATGAAAAAATTATATAACAAAGCTATTTTAATATATTTCTCTTTTATTTTTCATTAATTGTTGTGATTATATTTTTACCTTGATTTAAAGCCTTTTCATGTTCAGGATCATGAACATCTTCATCTCCAGGTGGGGCAACTTCATCATTGACATTAATTGCATCTAAAATGTGGTAAGCACATTAATATATTTTTAAAAAAGTAAGGTTATGAATTATTAACATTGAATTAATAAAAATTTTAAAATTGTTTAACTGAAAATAAGATTTTGAAAAAGATAGTTTCAGATGTAGCATTTTTCAAATTTTATTTGAAGCCTTTAAACTATTGCCTTGGGAATTTAGTTCAAAGTATTTCTTTAAAGCTTGAGTAAAAGGAATCTTTAATGCAAATGTAGGGAACCGATTAAAAGCATTCTGTGGAAGGAATCATAATAACATATTTCACTTAACTGCCAAACTAAGAAAATATATCATTAAGCTTGGATAACTCTGAATTTCAAAAGATTTTTTAAGATTAATAAATTTAAATATATCTGATTGCTTTTAAAAGTGGATTTTTTAAATAAATATTTAGTTTTGATATATTATGATGATTGAAATGAATCAATTATGAGCTTTACCAAATTTAAATACTGATACTTTTTGTAAAAAAAGACTAGTTAAGCAAATCTAATTTTGGTCAATAACTAATGTGAGTAAGAGCTCATGATCCTAACTTAGGTAGCTTTGGCATATTGTTTGCTTTAATTATGTTGAATGATGTATGAGACTTAAATTGCTTGCACAATTAAAACAAACTTGTTACAGGAATACTTTAACTTTAAGAGTCTTCATATTTTTGCATCCATGCTCAAAGTTTCAAAGCATTTTATAGTAAATTGGATAGACAATTATTTATTACATAAAACTTAATATTTTTTAGCATGATTTTGTACCTGTTTTCTAATATTAATAAAGTGTAAATTCTTACCTTCAGATGGCACTACAGTAGGCATTCCTATATATGTTATTTGGAGGTCTAGTCGCACCTATAAAAGTTAAAGGCATTTCGGTGATAAAACCTAATCATATCTATAAAAATATTTTAGTATTGTAAAGCCTTTAATATTAATATCAATAAACAATGTATAATGTTAAGGTAGTTTAAGAAACTGACAAGAAAGAAAATTTTTAAAAAAAATAAATAGTTTAAAAAGTAACAGAAAGCAGCTTTGAAATGAAAGAATTTAATTAAAGAAGAGCTTTTGTACTAAAAAGTCTGACCTTAGTAATTTTATTCTTAAATATTAGTTTCTCATAAGCTAAAATTGATTCTTAAAAATTTTATCTAATATATGTACATGTCCTTCACTTTGTGTTCAAAAGAAAGAAATAATGCATTTTGTAATGTTAGAAAATTGTTGTGTCCATATATTCACTACTTACTTCAAAATGAATTATGAATATGTGGAGTTTAATTTTGCTATATTCTTTTTTACTAGGGGCAGTGCTGTAACATATCAATTTGACATAACCTTTACATTATTAGCTAATTGAACACTTAAAAGTTGTATATTTCCTTAACCATGTTTATTTTCATGCTTACCTGAGCTGTAAAAACATATTTGTACATTTTGAAATGTCTAAAGAAAGTGTTTATGGTATATTCAGATATCCGTCTCACTTCTCCTGGTGAGAACAACTCAATGCTGTATGGGGGATGCTAGTTTGAGAGAAAAGTTTAAAATACGTTAAAGCGATGCTACCTTTTTCCTTAGGTTGAAAATATTACTATTTTGCATGTAAATTATAAGTAAATCATAAATAATTTTGTAACATACAATTCAATTTTTTTTTAAAGTTATTAACATATAATGACAACACCTAGGGCTATATGTTAAAGAATACAATATAAAAAAAGTGATGTTAAAATAGTTTCTTATTGTAAATGCCTGTGCGTACATTCACAGCATGGCAGTGTAGCAGATCCTTAAAATACTCGAATGTGTGGTCTACATTACCAAATGGTGTTTCTGTAAAAAGAATACATCATTATTATTAATTTACTGTATTTATTACAAAGAAATACAGAGATAATTTAATTATTATTTTACACCAAAAGGGAAAAGATAAATAAATGCATGAAAAAGGCCATTGAAGGATTAAGAAAATTCGTATGTTCTTGGATGAGAAATATTTATTATGTAATCCTCTTAAATAAGTTTGCATATATACCTATGCATACTTCAAAGATTTCTTTAATAATGGAGAAAAAAGTAGAGATCTTTTCTGGTGTGAAGCCTTCTTCCCTTGCAAACTGAAGTGTGTAGAAATACAAATCCATGATAATGCCTGTTTTTAGGTTGTCTTTCCAGTTGTCCAAAACAAAAATATCTGCTAGCACTCTGTGTGGTGAGAAATAAATGACAAGAAAGCAAATAACCTTAAAAACCACAATGGAATGAATGTTGTGTAAATTAAATATTGAAAGCATCTTTGCAAAATTTGAACAATTAATTAAAAAAAAAACATATTTATTAATTAGCCTGCTCTCTACTTTGGCAAACTAACTCATTCTTGTTAACTGCTACTTAGCCATAGGCTTGGCCAAAATATTGCCCCCCACTTTACCATAAGAATGGAGAAAAGTCAATGTGCATTCCCTCATTCACTACCATAGAGAGCATCCACAAAATTCTTTCAGTGTTGACTTGTGAGAATTCTATTTTTTATCTAATCTTGATAGTGAGTTCTCTTGACAGTGTCCTGTTCTGATGTGAGCCAGCACCGTGGTGTCAATGACTGGTTTAGTTATGTATGTGTTGCACCCCTGGCAGTGAAAGTGTACATCTTCTCAGCAAAGTCATTAGACTTCTGGCTGCAGTGTGATTGCATCTATATTTCTTTCGAGTTAAGGGGTGCTTTGATCTATGACTTACTTTCTCATTTTACATTGAAAGGTTGCTGAACACTTTTGGTTTTCTTATTTCATCAGTGACCTTGAACTAGAATGCTAATAAAATACTTTCTATCTGAAATGGCATGTAGCAAACTGTCATTTGTATGATATCACTTCCAGATGAGCTTTCATCATTGGTGGATAATAATGAAATATATTAATTTATAAGATTAATTTCTTTGTCACACATCAAATTGAAGAACAAAGTTTTAATATTTACCTTAATTTAAAATTTTCAGCATTAAAACATTCCATGCACGCTTTTTACCTATTTTATTATGCACAAATTAGATAGATCCAAAAAATTTTAGGCATTGGTAAATACATTATTGTGGTATTTTACACTTTGAATTAATTTTTTAAAACTCCATCCATATCTTGACCTATCAAAAGCCACAAGCATAAAAAATATTATGTTTCAAAAATTGCATTAACCAACTATCTAATGATTACACTACACTATATTTTTAAAAAATTTGATTATAAATGAAATTTAGTTTTGTTAACAGGATTTTATTTTATGAGATTGACCAAGATGAGTACACAAAACTAGTTTTTTGATGTTGAATTGAAAAGAACAAGCTAAGATGCTCTATTTATAATATCTAATATAAGAAAAAAATTGAAAATTTAGTAAAATTACTTACTGTTTGATATGGTCTGCATTTAGGGATTCATTCAGGCGGTCTACTGCATCAACTGACAGATCAGACCTTTGATAATATACAAGTCAAAGTAAATACAAATATGTAATCCAGTGGTTTTCAAATATTCTATTAGGGGCATCCTAACCAAATTGTAATTCCTTGGGGCCACCTTCCTACCTTTTCTTATTCAGCACATATATTTTTACAATAAAATGACTATAAAGGAGAGGTGTCACGAACAGCTGATGCCTCATGCCTTGCATAAACCCTATGAAGCCATTTAATTTTACTTGGTCAGCCATAGTGAAAGTTCTAGAAAATTTTCTGTTTCCCACAACAGTTAACTGTCGTATTGTTCCAAGAAAATGGACCCCGGCTGGCATCTCAACGACATGCTGTAAGGCAAGCTTGCACCAATGCACAACCAACTGGATATTGATATATGTTCTTTAACAGGTGAAAGTGGCCAGTATCGATTTCAGGGACTGTAAGATGTGTTACCACAAAGAACAACTTTAGTACAATGGGAAGATATATATTTCCAAGCCAGGAACTTTTGTTAAAGCCTAGGTTAAATAGGGAAGTTATTTAGTAAAAAAATGTGGACATTTAGAAATTTTAATTTGAAATTAAAATTGATGTCAATTTGATTAATTTCTTAGGAGTTTGATTCAAATCTAAGTATCACAGCACCAAGTAGGATCAATTAGGCAGTCTAGAATGCAGAGATACCCTTGTTGAAAACCACTGAAGAAATTTCAGTAATTAAAATTTTCATGCTCAATTTGAGCAGTTTAAAATGTGAAAACATGCTAATTTAATGGAACTAATTATCGAATAAAAATGTTATTATACAGGATAAATAAATTACCATACAAGAATCTTGGATTTGTGCTTTTTGGGCTGTAAATAAAATGTAAATATAAATATATGTAACTATTGGGAGACTGAAATTGTAAATGAATGTTATTATAATATATTTTTTCTAACTTAAGACCCTTTAAAATATAATAATTTATATTGAAATACAGTGACTGTAGGTAAATACAAAAAATAATTATCATGGATTATTTGCATGCACTGGACACATGTCACATATATTTCAACTTTAAGTAGAATAAAAAAAATTTAGGTATATGTATATTTGTAATTAATAAGTCTTTTAGATTTTAGAGCATTGGACAAACAATTTAATAATTATTTGGGCAAGTGAGTGTACTCATAAGTCTATTACTTAAAATTAAAAGTCAAACTAGTTAATCATCATAGGTCATACATAGTAGTAGGCCTATAGGCCTACTATAGGTTACTACTGACTTCAACTTTTCTTTCAGTTCTGTAACACACTGTAAGTGTTAGTAGAATGCCTAAGCCTAGAGACTTTTCTGCTGTAAGTGTTATTATCCCCAAGCCTAGGCCTTGGTGTTAACAGTTTAGTTAGGCCTAAAGGATTATTTACATGTTAATAATATTAAATTTAATTCACTTTAAAATTTAAATTTAAATTATTACAATTAAAGTGTAAGTTACTGTAAGTTAAAAATAAAATTATATTTTTATATATTTATGTTTGGACATCACCTGTATAACTAGAGGAATAGATGGTTCCTTTGGTTCTTCTTCAGAAGCTTTTTCTCCAGTTGGAACCATTTTCGGTTTTTAAACCGATTCAATTCAAATTGAAATAATATATAGCCTAGTCAAACAGGTACTTGGAAATCGGAAATCGCTGCTAGCTTTCTATTAGTTACCTAGCAACTCTGTTATAGTTATATAGATTCTAAGCGATCACCTTATCGCTTATAGTTTTTATAAATTCAGCAGCATAAGCCACGACTTAAATTTAAATTAAACAACCCTAAAACATAGTTTTTCGCAGTAATCCTTTATAAAATATAAGGTCGAGCAAAGTGTGGTTGGGCTGAAAATTTGACAAAACATGCACACAAGTAACCCACTTCATAAAAATCCAAATTAGTGCTCCCCCTCTCAAGAGACGCCACTGCATATTTTGTTCACGGTTCACGCCCCTGAACTATATTAATATTCTAATGACCCACTCGCTTTTATACCGCAAATTTATTCCACTATTTCAGAAAAGGAAACTATTTCAGAAAAGCAAAAGATAATAATATTACGCACCAAACGCAAATTGCCAAGTTTCATCTTGATAGCTTGACGGGAAGTCGATCAATTAGCCGTCCAAAGATTTTGCCACCCAGTCAGCCACAAAAGCGAAGTTAATATAAAGGATTTTAAAATGGGTGAAATTTGAGACCCATTATTGCCATTATTAATAAAACGCGCCAAATAAAAAAAAATTGAAATATGCATAAATGGGATTCATCACTATAGTTTTAACAAACATATAATAGAAGTGTATGGCAGGACAACGCTTCTCAACCCGGGGTGATCCCGGTCAAACAGGGACTCTTAGTAAGGAAAGCAGAACCTTCGCAAAAGCCCTCCAACCTCTGCTGCTACAGGATGCAAAGGATATTCGCCATCCTCAAAGCACACCCCTCTCTCAAGGCTGAAATTCCCGTAATTTGACTTTCCCAGGGGTCGGGATTGTGTATTTGCGTCCTAATATACCTCTGCCCATCTCGGGGGAAGCGTCGAACGCCCTCTTATGGGGTTTTCTACAGTTTCCACCTTGTAGATAGTTCACGAAGTCGCTGGGACGAAAGGGTTGCATCCTAAATGTGCATAGAAACATTAGCTTAAGGCTGCCACTGACCACCTCAGGCCTCATATCCGTCATCGGCAACATTGTAATCATGATCCCTACTCTGTTTATACCGTTTCTTCAACTGCAGATATGTCCACAGCTGGCAGTAACACAGTCACTGCTACAATTTAGGCAGATACTATGCATGCTCTTTCTCTGCCCAAGCAGGCTCGTGGCATGGTAGTTATTTTCCCCATGTAGCGCTGGGGGTGGGGGGGGAGGTGGCAGCCCCCGGGGGCTCAGGTCGACATGGCCGTAGTGTCATGTTGACTGCAGATGCGCTGCCACTACTCGGCCTACAAAGTCACGCGACTGCTCTGATGGTGCACCTAGGTATAGGCCTACTAATCTGTTTGTTATGAAAGTTTATACAATTTATTAACAAAACCGCGAAATAAAGGATTTGAAAGAGCACGGAATGTCATTTACTTGTATCGGGGGGGGGGGGGGGGACGTGTTTTCAAGCTTAAAATTTCAATGAAAGCCGTTGTAATTAACATATTCGTATAAGTGTGATTAACACATTTTTATTATTTTGATAAAAAAAAATATGTTTATATCAGGCTTTTAAAAACCGCAAACATTATAATGTTAAAAGCTATTATCTATTATTTTGTGTTTCTAGCTTATTCATATAAGTCTTACATCTTTGTTTCCTACCTATTGCACTTATTTGCTCTTGGCTGACTTGACGGCCCCTACTTCTTACATTATTGTTATCCTGCTCTAGCGATATGATGAGTACTGCTGATGTGACGGTTACTCTTAATTCTTTTAAGTGTTTTTTACTTAAGACCATTCAACTGTATTGTGAAGAGTAAAAAAAAAAAGGAAAGGTTGCCAGGTCAGTTGGCGTCGTGCTGCTGGGTGCGCTCAAACTGCTTCCCACTGCCAGCTTCTCTGCCTGCAGGAATTCTCTCTTGTTATACTTAATCGAAACACAGAAATACCCCCTTCTTCTTTTATACATCAAGGGCCCACGATCAATATATTGATCATTCTGGCTCTTATGTATGTAGAGGGCTTTGCAGTGTTTCTGTGCCTGGTGTTGAAGATCACCCAGACATGGGCGCCCGCAGAAAACTTTCTAGGGGGGGGGGGGGAATCGTTTAACTTTCCGGGGGGGGGGG